AATTGCATTTACATTACGTTTAGAAATTTTTTGTGTGGACCGTTGAAGTAATGAATTTACGGGTAACCAGTATCTTTCAAACAAAAACTTTAAGAAATATTTTAACAGTAATAATATAACGAGGATTCATAGATTGGTTGAGCTGAGAACTATAATTATTGTAAATTGAACCTGGGAAAAGATAAGCAATACTCGTTTTTCTTGACAACTTACTTTGTAAAAAGAGTTTTCCTAAATTATCTGTGTGTTAAATACCATTTAATTTTTATTCTAAAATAAGATCATATTTAATTTAAAAAGTTAATGAAATGTGATATATAAGATGTATCTATTTTAGTAAATTATGTTTTGTTTTAAGCATAGTATGCCATACAAATCTTGCGAAATTTGCTTTTTAATGTCATTTTTTTACTTTTTTTGGATAACGATAAGAATTTATGAGCCTTATAAGTGATGATAATTTTTAACTAAGTGGCTTTTTTGAGACGATAACACAATGGTTGTTCTCTCTAAAAATTGATAAAACTGATATTTTAATTTTTTCAATAAAGCTAGCAACATTTTTGGAAAAGCTATTTTTGAGGATAAAGGCTTCTGCTTGACAACATGTTTTGCTAAACGCAGATTTGAACCTCAGAATTTTCCTAATAAAGCAAACAACAATCTGAGAAAAGTCTTTTTCAAGGATAAATGTATTATGCTTCTGCTTGACATGTTTTTCTAAACGCAGATTTGAACCTGGAGCTTCGTAATTACGAAGCCAGGAGCTTCTACATAAATGAAGCTAAAAATGCCCAAAACCAAGTGAACCGTCTAGAGGGCTAATGCTTTTGGAAGGTACTGACTGCTGACTATTTACTACCTCGATGGTCGTCCGTTAGCATGCGTGTTTCCTTTCTGCCGACGGTCGGCTCGCACCTTCTGTGCGCGCAGGACACGCATTACGAGCCAGATCCAGTAGTGGTTTATGAACGAAGCCGCCGCATACTAAGCGCTTTACGTTTCGCGTTTCCAAGAAGCGACTATTAAACCATCATGTAAAAATAATAATAATTTTATTTCTGAGAATCGTTCGGCATTAAGTTGTCCTCGAGCCGAGAAAATATGACGTGTCGCGCACGCCGCGGTGGTATCGAAGGGCTTTTATGGGATTTTATTTACGATCGCGTCTCAATCCTTTGAGCGTCGCATGCTGTGTGACTTGCGACGCATTTCATAAACAAATAGAGGAACCCGCGGACAATGACTTACATTTTGAATGGGGACCGCTACATTTTTTACTGTCATTGTGGTAGGGCATCCGCACAACGAACGGGATAAACTAATAAAATCACACAAGGATTATATTTAATATCTTTTTCTTTTCAATCCACCTCGTAAAACTTCAACTTCCAACTGTTCGATCAGATCATTCAATTGATAATAATTTCCATTGATTAAAATTAAACTATTTTTGTATCACAGAATACATAAAATTTAATTTGTTTTCTACTTATTTGCTTGTTTCGCAAGAAGAAAAATCGAATAGAATTATATAATATCT